AGTCTCGCTCTTGTTTCTGTTACTATATGACATATACAATCTTGGTTAATGCCAGCACACAGTCCAGGCTTTCCTCGCTTTAATAAACCTTCCTCAAATGTACTGTATGTGCGTCAGTGTGCGGTCTGTGGTCTTTTATACTCGGTAATTAGCTTCCTCTGTCTTCTTGCAGGTCACGGGGTTGCTGTTGAGACAAAGCCGTAGAGACACCAACAGTATAAACTCAGCTCACTGGAGGCAGCTTCCTTTATTGTGTAAGAAACTCCAGTAGGCTCTTTTAACATTCACCTTGCAGCGAGTAGTAATCACAATATGGATCCCTCAGCCACTTCTTAAGCACGTAATTAGGTGTGCTGTGTTAAGGAACGTTAATCAGCAGGGAGGAAACTTCTGTTTTACTTCCCTCACGTTCAAAGGCAGTTGAGCAGGAACTACACACGGGCAGTTCGGTGACACAAAGCAGCCAAATGCAGAAAATGTAGCATACTCTCCTGCTTCTTCTTGATCTCCGGTCTCCCTTTGTTTCCTTTTAAACACATGCTCTCTCTCCTTCTCTCTCCTTCTCTCTCGTTTTCATTCACATGCACGCTTAAACATTACGACTGGCGTTGTGTTCCAACTCAACACACAGCTGTTTCAAGTCTTGGCACCAGCGCTCGTGACAGTAATTACGTGCCTAGTGGAGGTGGAACTAGTCTGTGCTGAGAGCTAGGAAATAGCAATCTGGAAGAACAGTGCTGTACGGGAAGAAGGCGACACTCTGTGAGGCAACCAGACCTTCTGCTTAACTTGGAAGCAGGACACCCCAATATGGTCTCCTTACGAAAGGAGGGCCAGCATTAGATTGCAGAGCCAAGGCAGCAAGTATTGTGTTTTTGATGATGAGGCCACCTTACCATTAGCATTGATATATTAAGTGACTGCTGTTTAGATAAATGTAGTTAAGATAAGTAAAATAATAAAAATTAATCTTATGCCAAATGAAAAATAAGTTTTGGATGTTGAATGATTAGAATTTCTCACATTGAGTTTTGGAGATTTGTCTTTTTAAATTATTACTAAATCTATACTCCACTCCCCACAATAATTAACTACCAGTGCTGGACAGGTGGTAAGATTAGTCACCTGGATGGTGTGAGGTTGTAGTGATGACAGAAGGTATCTCAGCATAAGCCACAGCCATATTCTGTTATTTTAATCACAGCACGGGCAAACAGACCAAAAATAACAGTGATGAGCACTGTACTAAAAAGAGACGTCATCATATCGAGGGATATCTTTCCATTATCTGGATACATTTAGTCTAACTGGTGATCAACTTGCTAACGTAACCCAGGGTTTCCCCAGCATGTTCATCTGAAAGGAGTGGCAACATCTGGCCAATCACAAACACGGAGAAGTGTACTGGCAGCACATGGGCTGATTTTTACAAATAAAAATAAAACCGTTGTAAAAATATAAACATGTTAAAAAAAACAGTGCAGACTGAAAGCAACACATGCAGACAAAGCTGCGAGTGTGTGTGAGTGTGAGAGAGAAAGCACTGTATAGTAGTTCAGTATTAAAAGTGTATGAATGTGTGAGCGCTGTGAATGATTTGGTCAGCAACACTGCAGAAGAGCTACTAATAAAGTTTAGCCTATCTGAAGCCAGAAAAGAAAGCCAAGAAAAATGCTGACTGTGTAAGTTAACAGACTTGTTAGTATCATTTATTATTGTTAGGATCATTTATTAATGCTCATAAAAACTAAAACTTTGGAAGATTGTAGCCAACAAGAAAAAAAAAACATGGAATAAAGTTGTGTCTAAGAATGTGTTTTAATTACTGATGCTCATCTAAGAAACACAAAGACTTTAGATGCTATTAAAAAATCTAGACCATCCTGCTGTCCGTGCACAGAGTTTCAAGCGATCTTCCAGGAATGGTATACTCTGACGCTATTTACAAAGAACTGGTAAATGGACTGGTTCTTATATAGCACCTTTCTACTCTATCTGAGCACTCAAAGGGCTTTATACACCATGCCTCCTTCACCCATTAACACAAGCAGCTTTTATAATGCTGAAGTGGATTGTATCTTACATTCACACTCTGATGGAAACATCAGAGAGAAACTTGGGGTTAGTATCTTGCTGAAGGATATTTGGCATGCGGGCTGGAGCAGTCAGTTGTCAAACCGCCAACCTACTAATCAGTACATGACCTGACCTGTACCATACCTCCCAAGCTACAGGATCACTAGACAGTGACTTCATACCTGTTGATCTCTAACCTAGAGCATAACCTGTTGCAGAGAAGGTAATAATGTGAGTTACCATAGTAAGAAGTGAACCAATTTCAACCAAATGTAATAAAATGCTTTAAATACTTTCAGTAAACACATTATGCTCATTTCTACCTGCACATTTTTATTCCTGGAACACACAAGAGTAGCTTTGCATGATTCATGGTTCATAATAATCCTTATTTATCTTATACTCTGTCTTTGTTTTCCCTGCCTTTACCATTTAAGCCAAACTTTTTCTGACTGGCTGCCTCTTGCAAACAGAAGAGTTCAACGGCAGGTGGGTGGGGCTTCTTCACAGCCAAAGCTTTGCCCCTGTGATAGTATTTTATGTCACTCCTCTCAGTGACATCATACAGGCTAAGATAGGAAAACATTGTCTGGAATGAAGCATTTAGAGTAATCTGAATTTAACATTTCATATCCCCGTTTGAACAGCTCATCTGAACAGGCATTACCTGTTTTCTCAAAGCTGTTAATAGAATTAATTCTGAGTGTTTTCAGTTCTCTATAGACTCTGGTTGTGAAAGGCCAAATTCAGTTAATTCAGATAACAGTTGGTTGGAATATAGAAGTTAATGTTACTGTCCAGGAAAAAAGTTAAATTGATTTAAATGACCACCACTAAATGTAAAAATATTTCTCCAAGAACAAATCAGATCAACTTAAAGAGTTTTCCACTATTGCTTTCAGCCATTTATCACCGTTTAAAGGTCTGACCTGCTCTTGGATTTGGTTGATGTGATAGGAGATCGCATAGCAGCGAAACTACCTCTTCCCTTATATTTGCTCTTGGCCAGGCCATCATAGCTAATTTGTCCCGTCAGGCTCTGCTACCTCCAGTCTGCCCCGTCTTGCAGTTGAAATCCAACATTAATTTCCTTTACTTCACCAACTCAAGGACAGCAGTTCATTCTCGGGAGCTTGACAAACTGCTTGTGCTACAGGTACAGTACAACCCCAATTCCCCTTTGTTAGGACAGCCCTCCTACCAAGGCAGCTTAATAGTTATTGTCATCGTGTGCCTTTACTGGTCGTCAACCAGCAGATATTTGGACAGAAATAATGATAAATGTTTCTGGTTATTATTGCTATTCTCCAAGTGAACAAGCTACAGGAAAGGTAGAACATCCCAGGGAGCACACATACCAATGAGCTAATATATTAAACTGGAGCTTGAATCAGCCCTAAATGTAGGAAGCACTGTGATGTAATAAAATGTGGCAAGTACTGGCACAGAGAGAACAGACAGAAGTGAGTTTTTGACAGGTTGTCATGACAATTTCTAGTAAATTTAAATTTGAATCACCAATCACACAAAAAGCTACTGTTCGTGTGTGTGTTTTTAAAGAAAATGGTCAATATACATCATTGCCTTTGTTCATTCCTGTTTACTTTACGATATAACGATTTGTATTAAAGAGCAAAGACGGGAAAATTCAGCCACAAAGTCCATAATAATCCACGCCTAAGGACATGAGCAGTTGCCCAAAACAAACAGCAACAGAGCTGAAACAAAGCTGAATGGAAAATGAGAGCAGAGCAGTGCATTGATTCTATTTGAGCAGCTGATGATTCCTGGAAAAAAATAAAATAAAAAAGAATTCTCAAAGAGAAACACGAGATAGTTATGAAATACGGTGCTTGGTGTTTAGGAATCCTCGTGGTTATTATTGAGAGAGAGTTCAGAGTAAAGTTGAAGAAACGTCTGTGTGGGCTTCGCCTGGGGAAGGACTTGCTGTAATGTCGCCGTCGACCAATTAAGTTTGATAAATGTGACCGCTGCTTTCAGACCGGCGGGAGGAACGACTGCAGTCGGCGTCTGCAGGACTTAGCCAGATAATAAAGGTTAACTTCACTGTAAAGATAAAAGAGTGGAAAGCCACAGAAAGTTGGGCTGTGTGTTTTTTTTTCTTTCAAAAACACAAATATTAACACTGGTTGCAAGTTGTGTGCATGCTGCCCAAATGCTTGGCGAGAAGCTGTACTGTAAGCTGGGAGTGGACCTTTGTCGCTGTCTGTGGTGCTGAAAGCCTCAGCGCTGTCTGCTTTTGATACTGGAAACAATTTTGGATTACCTTGAACTTTAGTGAAGTCTCTCTTTGGACAAGGAAAAAAGAAATAGCAAGAAATGTGAAATACCTGGTGATCTAATGTCGCTATCTGTATCGAGGACAGCAAGCATGCAATCATACTGAAAGGCGCTGACAACTCCCTATTCTCTCTATTACAGGTGTTGGGCGTTTTGGATCAGCCTGCAAGCTTATTCTCTGGAGAATCCCAGCCGGCCAAAAATAAAGAAGAGGGGGGAAAGGAACTTAAATCGCAAACTATTACACATCCTTAAATGAGTCAATGATTTAAAATATATGGAGATTAAAAAGCAAACTTACGAGTGCCATCAAACCGAGTGGCTATAGTGTCCAGAAACGTGTTCTGCGGCGCTAGTAATCCCTTCATCACAGGCATTTTCCCTGCTTAATGTCGAATTCCCCATCAAAGTTACTGAAGAGATGGTGCAAGTCGTCCAAACGCTTGAGGTGCTCCCATCGAAGGTGCTGATGGCTATATGACCGAGCAGCTATCCAGTCAACTCAGCACAACGCAAAAGCCCCTAGTTGGTGGGGAGCGCACGTGATGCGCTCACCCGTGCGTCTGTTGCGTGTGTTAAGGACAGGAGAAGAGGGAGACCACAGGTGCTGCTCAGGTAACAGCGAGGGACAGGGTGACACTCCCTGTCAGCGATTCCATTATTATGTCGGTTGGAGCCAACGATCATCTATCCACAGCGTGCAGCGGTGAGAGACGAGCATTCTTAACAGCTGTGATTAAAGCCGCAAATCTGACAGTTTCTCGGCGTGGAGACACGGTCACATCACAACAGAGAAACACAGCTGACTCCTGAACTTTTATTGAAATTTTGATTTACAGCTTTTTAATTAGTATAGCGCGTCACTCAAGTGAGTCGTGAATTTCTCTTATGCCGTTGCTCAGTGTGCTCTGCTTAAGGACGCCGCGGTGTTAAAATAAAGCCAATAAACTACATCAGTTGTGCAGACTGCAAATAAGTCACTTAAGTAGGTGCACGACTCATTCACGTCGTTGTGTTGGAAGCGTGTCCGCACTGTTTTTAGCGACATCTGGTGGTAGGATCAAAGTACGGCCTGCATGGAAGGCACGGAAAGATGGGCTGAAGTCTGCCATGAGCTGCACAACAGCGCTGCGCAGCTCGGATCCGCTGTGCTACATCGCCATCCTGTGGATGCTAAGATACAGATCTCCATAAAGCCAGTAAATGTGCAGCACATAAATGCTCCTTAACTAGTTACAGTTTCTTATATAGATATGTCTATATAACATTACTCACACTGCACTTTATGTACATATGAAAAAAATAATCAGTGCATTTACTGTATATAGTAACCATTTGTAAATAGTAGAAAATACCGGTATAGTTTTGAGGCTTTTATTATTTGTCCACAATTTTTTCTTAGGTACTTATTTTTCTATTTTTTTCTCATATATTTCTCATTCCCTTCGTCTTGTTGACCCTTGTGCTGCTGTAATGTGTGAATTTCCCCAATGTCAATGAAGTCTATGTCTTTGTCTAAAAAAATCACTTAAACCGTTTAGTGAGACGTACAATGAAAATGACATTGAAGAAGCTGTAACGGCAAGACTCAGTTTTATCAATGTCATAACAGTACGGTCGAATATTTCAAAAGCAACATCCCATGAAAATGTTTGTCTTTTTTTTTGTTTTTGAGGGAACTGGACAAGCATCCTTTTTGTGGCTACAGTGGACCACTCCTTAGTGCATCACTCATTTATCAGCTAAAAGCTTCATTGAGATAAAAATTTCTTTTCTAAGAGAGACTATAACCAAGAGGGCAGCAGAAATTACAAAATATCCTTCTGTTGCAAGATGTTTGGGGTTTTCATTTATATGTTTATATGATTGCTTAACATGGCCGTGGTCAGGAGGTATAGTGAGTCAACAGGAAGTCAGACATTTGCTTCCTAGGCATGGAAAAAAGCACTAGTATGAATCTATCTGTGTGTGATTGGGGGGAATAAGGCTTGTAGTAACACCTGCTATTAAGTACGAGTCCATTTAACATTTATTTTAATAGGATTCAAACATGGACTATACTCTTTAGTCTTTCTTAGCCACTCTTTAGTAAATTTCCTCCTGTGCTTATGTTGTAGAGAGGCCCACTTCTGATTCTGCTTCAAATTCTTTGATATGATACACAATTTATAGTTGAATCAATAGCTGCACACTGCCCAGCTCCTGAGGCAACAAGAAAGCCTCAAACTAAACATTTCCACCGTCGTGTTTCCCAGCTGATATGAGGCTCTTCTCTGGAAAAGCTGTTTTTGGTCTGCAGCAAATATGTCTGTTGTTATTGTGGCCAAACAGTGATATCTCTTATTCACTGATCCAGGATGTGTTATTCCAAAAAAAAAAAAAAAAAAAAACGTTGGTATGTTCAGTAGTAACGTGTACCTTTGCTCTAATGTTCTTTATAGATAGCAAATGCTTTTTCCTGATACGACTCCCATGCAGCTCAGATTTGGTTTTGACAACAACATTAGCGACAGATCCTGGAGATTTCTTTGTGCATTAAACAGTTTTGTTCTTAGGCTGAATTTTCTGGAGCGGTAGGTCACAGAGAAACTGACAGTCATTAGAAATCACTGCCGCTTGTAGATGATTTTCTTGCAGTGGAATGATTTGATGTTCTTTTTTCCACAGACTACCAGACTCATAAACATCCTCAACCTTTTTCTAAAGACCTGAGAGAGCTTCTTAGACCCTGATGACACGGCACACTTCAGAAGTAAGACAGCTCCAGAACTGGCAGAAGACTAAATTAGACAGTTTCCACTTTCCCTACAAGTTTCTATTTATTGGTACTTAATCTGCAAGCCTAATTCCTAATTTTATGGTTCTAAAGTAGTAAAATTTGTACTTTTGGCACATCATTAATAACTTTTCTAATTAAAATCTGCCTTTTTTCTTAAATCCATGTACTGTTATATACTGTTTAAAAGATGATAACGCGAAGTCATTCTGTGCTGCTGCGCTTGGTCTTTTCTGTTGGCTGTGGGCACTTGTGGTTTCTGGGTTCATGCGGGTTCTCATCACCACTCTGTGCTCTGATGTTTTGACTCTAGTGATCAGGGGAACTTGATGGAAATGGGGTTGTCCTTACAAACCACCACACTGCTTGTTGTTGCGCCCCTCCCTCGTCCTGCGGAAACCCTGATAAGGATAAGTGGAAGAGGATGGATGGATGATGGATGGGAGTAGGACACCTGTAAATACTTTCCTGAAGCTCAAGAAAAAAATAAAATAAATAAATAAAAGATCTTCAAATGCTTCACTTGTTTGGATATTGTTCAAATAGTAATTTTTCTCATGATGTGCTTCTTTTCCACATGATAATATCTTCTAAAATGCAAACCTTTCCTCAACAGGAAACATTCAGTATAAAAAGCAATTTATTTCAGCATAAGCTCAAGGTGCTCCTAAGGAGCAGAGTTACTGAGATATTGGCTAACAGTAAGAGACGTTTAAGAAACTGCCTCGTGTAATAAAATGCCAATTTGCAAATCCTTATTTTCTCCAGTACATAAATCAAGAAATAGGACTACATCCAAGTTTTCAATTTCAAGGTTCATGCTGCAAGTACAAGATACCTCTAGGAAATATCTTGAAACCTATCTTGTAAGTTCATGAACCCACAAATACACACATGTTCAACAAAAGCCATAACTAAACTCCATTCTAGGTCAGTCCCATTACCTACAGTGCTACAGCATGGGCCTAAACAGCAAAAGTCAAAAACAGTGCCTCCTACTCAGCTCTTTCCCAAAAGTGAAGCAGCTGTTTTAGTGTTTATGTCATGTGGAAAACATGTAGTCATCAGGCGCTCCCAGGCCCATCGAAATGTGAATCATATGTCTCCTCTGTGCCTTCAAACAAGCTCACGAACTGTACGCGCATTCAAACAAATGCATTCAGGATCCACATAAAGAAATGTGTGAGTCATGTCCCCGAGGTGAGCCAGAGCCAAGTAGTTAAGCACACAGAGCTTCTTCCATAAATGTGTCAGCTAATAAAATTAAAACAGACAGCCAACACACTGCGATGCTCCACCTGAGTAATTAAATGCTTAATGCATCGTTTAATCCTAATCACTGCACCAAATACACATCTTGCGTGCATGTGTGTGTGCGCCTCACAGTTAAGTTCATAGCAAAGTGACAGTCAAGCCAAAGTGAGTCGCTGTGGATTCCAGCGTTACCTCACCAGAAATGTTATTAAACCTCCAAAGATTAGAGCCAATTAAGCTTCCGCGTAATTATCAATCAATCACTGTAGCTGTGACAACACTTAAGGCACTAGAGAAAAATTATTTGGGATATTAAAGAAAAACAGTTTATTTGCAGAGCTATCACCATGCTTTTTTATAACATTTACCTTACCCCAAAGGGAGAAAAAAAAATGTATTTCCCTCCACACCACCTCCCATCTGTCCAAATTGTTTTTAATGCTTGCAAACACGGCAACTTTACACCTAACTTTATTATTAATCTACTGCATGAGGTGACATAAATAAACCTCTCTTACAGCAGATATTTTCTCAGCTCAGGTGTAACGTTTTAAATGGCTCTCATTTGGACGTGTCAGTGCCGGAGTGCTGCACACTGGGTCATTGTTATTGATTACTGAGACTGAGGCTTTGTTTACATTATTCATTACACCTGAAATGGCATTTCAGAATGTCTGTGGACATCCTGACACGTGGAGGTAGGGGGGCAATGTGTATTTGTGTCGCAGAAAACATTAGACAACCCTTGTCAAAATTTGGTGCAATGGATAGATTTCTTCCAACCACCTTTCCCTAAGTCAGATAGCACCGCTAGGGGGCGCCAAGGTTACGTTTTATTAATCGATCAGCTGGATGGTGATGTTGGTTTAAAAATGCACACGAACCCATTAATATGCACCAATTACAAGTGAATTTAAGATGTTTGAATAGTGCACAATAATAATAACTGTAATGAAGATCATTTTATGCCTATATGCATTTGTACTGCCTTACAGTAATCTCAGCTCCAGCTCTGAGTCTCTCTGTGTTATTTTGGTATAAACAGTTGGACCCTAATCAGATCTGACCTTGTGTTTGTATAATGTACAGTCATGCATTTATACTGAAGATTCCCTTGCGGCATTAAAGCAACACAATGCTAGCATTTCAACTTCACGTTTTTTGCTATGCGCGGTGCAGGCACACCTAATGAAAGAAACACACACAACTTTGCAGCAGGCTATTTTACATGAAATATGTACAAAGCCACGTTTCCACAGAGCAATACTGGTGTCCTCACTCACAATCAACACTGCACGGGATCTAATGATACAGGCAATTACAGAAATGTCACATGACACATCACACCTGCCCTCTTCTAACCAGTACTTACACTTCCTATCTTTTGTCCTTTCTTTCTTGTCCTTTGTTTCCATTATTCCCACAAAACAAAACCCATCAATTTTTCAATCAAGCAAGTAAGTAGGGCAGCATCTCGCATCTGATCCTGAGCTCACAATCTAATCTGAAACCTGGAGGCTCCTAAATTCAAACCTTTTTTTCAGAGACTTTCTGATTTGTATACATTTAACAAAGCCACCTTAACACAAGGCTATGGTTTTTCAGGCAGTGTTTGATACCCATGCTGGTACATTAACAGACTGAGGAGCCTGTGCACGCCCCAGATCAGGAGAGACCTGAGGAGAGACAGTCGCCTTAAAGCCAAGCTATGATACAATGTTAGAGATAAGATTATAGTATGGCCATCTAATATGTTTGCAGAGAGATTTTTTCTGGTAAAGATGTTTCATATTAGAGCAAATGATAACGACAGTGGCTGAATAAGAATGAAGTAATATTACCAGGAACTCACAGCCCAAACCCATTGCAAGAAAAAGCCCTGCATTCAAAACAGGAATTTTAGACACAAAAAGATTTGGTTGTGCAGAGAATTGTCCCTGACATACATGTAATTCTACATTATATCATCAAACTTTTAATGTGAACAAAAATTCAATAAAGATTGTCAGTCAATCAAAGTGTAGCTAGTTGTTTACTCCAAGGACATGTAAGATAGCAACACACAAACATCTGTTGATACTTAAGGGGCCCAAACTAGACACGGGTCATTTGTAACAGAGTCAAAAACAAACAGCTCAAAAATAGAACTTTTAGCAATATGCTGAATTTTATCATCTGATCATATATTTTTTTCTCCCTCCATTCAGTTTATTAACTGCTTATCCAATTTAGGGTCATGCAGCCCATCCCAGCTGTCATTTTTTTAAGTGCTATCTTAATTTATGACTGATAATTACGGCTGCCAAAATACATAACGGCTCATAAGTTTGGAGAATAACATGAGAGCTTATGCTCAGATTCATCAAATAAATTGTAACATTGATAGTAAATAAGCAAAGATATAAGCAAAGTTTTTTTTTCAAAGTAAAACAATCGTTTTGTCTTTTCATCAAATTTTGCAGCATCAGAGCCTGAATGACCTTTGACACTAGATGTAAGCTTATGGAGGTAATATGGTCATGCTTTTCACTCACACTTCTTACAGGCCATTTCCACAATAGTTCAGTGACACTGAGATCCATTAACTATGTTTGATATTCCTTTTTTGTCCACTGCACTGGACAAAGACAGCCAGCTGCTTCTGCTGTTGTATATTTTGTAATAGTTTGGAGCTGTGTATAGGACCATTATCCTGCTGTAAGCAAACAAGTGTCCTAGGAGTATATCATAGAATTAAATAACGTAGCTATAGCCTTCTTTTTTATCAAGATCACTTTTATCTTGTACAAATCTCCTACTTTAATCCCACCATATTTATATTAGGCTTTTGACATCAGGCAGCCCCACCCCTCCTCCTCAGCACCTTTTTCTTTTTTTGTTCCACATCTTAAAACCTTAGACAAAGATAGGAATTGAAGGAATTGTCTGTCAGCAAGATGTGCCTGGGGAACCCACACCAACAGGGGGCCCCCAAGAGCACTTGAAACGTCACAAAAGACAGTTTGATTAAATGTATTTCTTGTGCATGTGACATATCAGTAGTACAAGTTCATGCTACTGCTACAATCATTTTTACTGTCAGAGCCAGGATCATGCTCATGCACAGTGTAAGTATTTGTAAGAAGATTGGTGTCCAAGTAAGTTTTAAAAAATTATTTATCCCCCTGGGGCTAAAAAGAAAAGAAAAGAATCAGAGGGAAAAAAGGAAGATAAACGTATGTTTCTGAGAATAATCACATATAAGCAGTTAATCATTAAGACTGGCTAACAGTGACATTAGCTAAACAAGAGCTTTTGGTTCAGTCAAGTTGTAGTGAGCTTAGGTGATGCTGCATGGAAACCACAGGCATTAAAGTTAATAATCTAGTGCTAGCTCTCTATTTAGTTAGTTTCTGTTTAATTTATTTAATATTGTCTGTTTTTACATTTGTCATGTGGCATTCGTCATGTAAAAATGAAAAATTAAATTTAGGTCATTATAAACTCTTGTTGTGCCCTTTTGCACATTTAAAAAAAACAATTGACTTGTTTTAAAAGGGCACTGTCTGCTCGTTTATTTTATTTCTTTCCAGCACACTAGAAAAACATGATAATGGTTTATTAGATGCATACTGATCAAGCATGGACAACATATAGTTAATAATGGTGGCACTGAAGTAGGCTGTTGGTGATGAGTTTAGCTGGGGGCGGGGCCCCGAATCAAATTCTGCCCAGAAATATAGAGAACCAAGAGTGACATCTTTTAATAATTCATTAAATGTGTCAGGAACTAATTAAAATTGGAAATAAATAATGAATTAATTATGTTATTAATTCAGTGAACTTTGAATTAATTAATTAATGAATTAATTAATTGAATGCGGCATGAACTAATTAAAAATGGAAATGAATAAATAATTAAATATGTCATTAATTAATCAAATTTGGAAAAATAAATAAATAAACCTGTCATTAATGGATTAAAATAGAAAATAATTAATTTATTAAATCTTTCACTAATTAATTGATGTTGGAAATAAATAAATAATTAATTAATTAATTTTCAAATATGCTGTCGAATTTTCCACATAGGGCCTATTTGCAAAAAGTTCTCTGATGTTTTCAGAGATGTGATGTTTCGTGAAAAGAGCAGTACACCCCGCTGCATGAAGTCTGTAGCCTTTTGGCCCCTTAACTCTTTAGAGCAAGCACATGAAGAAAGCTTTTTGGGTGGGATTGTATTCTGGACATGCAACTCCCCCAATTTATTGTTTCTTTGATAAGCACAAGAGATTTCATCTATGCTAAGATAATGAAGACTTTTCTCTAAATGATTAAGGACCTATTTACATTTATGTAGATGTAATCACGTAATGTTTATGTTATGTAATCATGTGATAAACCTGGATGAAGTAAAACAACAGGACGCTGCAATACACAGGTACGATGGCTGCTTAGAGAGCAACAGGACTGCTTTTCTTTCTATGTGACCCAGAACATCTGAGCTAAAATTGAGGTCACTGTATGCGCAAGTAATCCCTATGAGCCAGAAGCTCAGCCTTCAGGCTGCTCTAAATGCCTTGCTTCAGTCAGTATTTGTAATCCTAGGTCTGCATGACGTCACTGAGAGTGAATATTTTGGAAATGTCAGTCACACAGCTCTGGCCGTGAGTATTGGAGCCCCACCTATCAAACCTCCCGTTTAAAAGGGGCAGCCAATTAGAAGAAAGCTGGCTCAAAATAAGCATGACCTTAAAGGGAGAGGAGCTAAAATTGCTTCTTTCAGACAGCACCAAGTGGCAGTACAAGACTAACGAGTATTATTTTGAACTGTGAATCACACAAAGCTTGTCTAGTGGAGTACCGGAATAAAAATGTGAAGCGTAATAGGTCCGCTTTAAGATCAGGGAGCAGGCGAAACAAAACTGTGCAATACTTTGTGCCGGTAATCCATTTCCCCTTTAACACCCTGACGTGTTGCCTCCACCCATGTAACGGCAGCCACCTCACTAACCACATCATGAGGATATAATAACCACATCACATCTATGGCGAATGAGGTGGCGTGAAAATCTAACCTAATTTGGCTGAGATACGCGACTGTGTAAGCAGCAGGGTGTCCCCTGAGATGAGGCTCCGATTGAGGGAGCTGTGCGGTGCACTGCTAGCACGCTCTGTGAGCGTGTAATGGTCTTAATGATCATTTAGCACGGCAGCCTCATTGATGACGTATCAGGCCAGTGATGAAATAGTAGAGCAGAGAATAACAGAGGGGAAGAAATTTCAACATATAAAAACTTAAAGGCACGTGCACACACAAACTAGTAGATGACACACTGCTGCGAACCTTACTTAGCAAAATACCCAGAGGTGCAAGGGGAATGCTGCAAACACACACATATATACGCACGCACACGTTTCCGCCCAGCTGAGTGACATCTCTCTCTGTGAATTAGTCACGATGAATGATGTGTAACCAGCCATGACTCGTTCTGGCTGGGGAGATAGCTAATTCACTTTGTTTAATTAGTCAAAAAGTAGTAGAGCACACTCCCGCTCCCCAAACATACACTTCCACTGCACACCATCCACCCTATAATGAACCGGTGGAAAACAGACTGTCTGCCAGCATGAGTGATCTCTGACTCTTCATCTCTTTCTGTCTCCCTCTCGTGCACGCACGGAGCGCACACTTCGCCCGCTGCTTTGTGATACCCTCACAGAGATTTCAAGCACTGTCTGAGGATCTCAGCTTCCGAGATGGTGCACCTCCTCTGCAGTGGACCGCATGGGGGAGGTATGCTTACGCTCGGCTGCAGCTTAAGGTTGCTGCAAACAGGGCAGAAGACAAGTTGGTTCCAATGATAACTCATGCAGCCATATCAACACTTCGAGGTACACTGAAGAAGTGAAGCCCCTCGAAGCACTTTAAAGCGAAATTTAGTCATTAAAAACAGCGAAACAGCCATTCTGAGTGTACAGCAATATACCAACTACTGTATACTTTAGCTTAATATAACCTTTACACATATAATATGAGCAGTAGAAACACCCTACACTACTGTAAATTTAGTATAGAGCTCATTCCTGCTCTTCCTGTAGTAGAAAAAAGTGATCTTCTGCATATTAAAAATGAGCCTTAGATAATCTTGTGACAACATCAGCGTTCAAAAGTTAATATCAGTGAGCCAGTTCCACCTTGCCCTGCTCCACTTTGTTACCATGGAGAGCTCCAATACCCTAAAGACAATAATAAGTGCGTGCACAGCATGCGGCAGAACATAATAAATAGATTTATGCGCAATTGTCACATTTAATACATTTACGGAGCGCGCTAGTGAATTCATTATTACACCATATGTTAATGCAGCTGGGTCCGTGGATTTTAGAGACTGTGTAGGGAGGTCTCCCCCTCCCCACCTCTCTCTCTCTCTCTCTCTCTCTCTCTCACCCTCTCTCTCTCGCTATCTCTCTCTCCTCGTGCGCACAGCGCTTTGAAGTGTAACCAACAACTGCTCTCCCTGAGTCAGTGGTCTAATATATGACAGGAAATATACTCCAGGAGCTCCTCGGCGCACATTGTTCTTTGTGGAGCTTGATCCACAGAAGCAGCGTGCCCCGGTGCTCTGGCTGGGAGGTCGCTCACAACTTGTGCTGAGGCTAGTTTAATCGGAAAGCAAAGCGCTGTCGGGGAACAAGGGAGGATCGATCGAGATAGTTACTCCTGACACAAGGGGAAAACGAGAAAATTCAGATGGTAAACGGTTATTGTGAGTAATAGGACGCACAGGAGCGTGTCGCGGGACATACAGCCGGGAGAAGCGGATCTGTTCTCCAACTAGAGATCTATGGAAGCGGGGAGAACCATATGGATACAGACGCCGTCTGCGGGAATGGGCTGCTGATGTACGATAGCGGGTCGGGCATGCACGTTGTGCAGACTGAAACAGGTTGGTTTCGCCTCAGTCAAACTTCAGCAGAATCAGATGTCGGACTGTTTGTTTAGCTGCTAACATTGAAGCGAATCAGCGGCGCTTACAAGCGGCGCACCGGGAGGCGACGGCAGTTTATTGTGGGGAAACTGCGCTGTAGCATTCACTGCATCTTTTTTGTTATAAGGGATTTCAGTGGTTAGCCTCAAAGAGGCATCTGGGTGAAGGTCATCCCCGATGCTGAGACGGATATTTAAACCTTTGCGTGCACGTGTGTGTGTTTAAAAATATATTTTATTATGGCTACTTTATGTGGCAGTTTCCAGCTCACATTCTCTTGACGTTCACTATGTATGCAAATGTTAGAGCAGTTTGCAGTTATTTAATTGGTGTCTATGAGTACATATAAAAAAAAAAAGTTTGTCAATAAAAGTTTAAGGAGAACTGGTATAAGTGACTTTTATTAGCTTACCTTGTGTAGTATTTGATGTTTAAGCGTCTTTATCTCTGTATTAGTGTAAGACCACAGATGGATCCCTTGTGTAATGGAATCAAGAAAGCTGAGGGCTGTGATCTTGCTGTAGACCCTCGCCCTCCTCCTGCTAAGCTGGCTCGAGTGGAGCAACATGAGGGGGGACCCTCAACCCAGGAGAGGAGCAGACAAGGTAGTCCTGTGGCCAAAAACCCCTGCATGGCACAGAAACCCACCACAGCGAGGTCACAGGGAAAGAGCTGGCACAGCAGAGGTACATGGGGGGAAAAGATGAAACCTAGGGTTTGAACCCATATATGTATTTTTTTAGTTTTACACGGATCTTCTGTGATTATGGCTCAGCTGTGTTATCAAATTAATTGAGCTTATCTCATAACTGTAAATGTGTTTGTTTGTTTTTAATTTCAGCTAGTTCTGATGCAAATGCATGTATAAAAAATACTTTGTATAAGTTGATGAATTACTTCTAATTACCCAAATGGTTTGGTATATGGCATCATGCATGTCTGTCACCGCAGGGAGCCTGCTGCCGGTGTTCTGTGTGGTGGAGCACACGGAAAGCCCTTTGGAAGGAGAGAGGAGAGAAGAGCATGCTGAGTTTGTGTTGGTTAAGAGAGATCTGCTGTTTAACCAGCTGATAGAGATGGCCCTGCTGACACTGGGATATTCACACAGCTCTGCAGCACAGGCAAAAGGTAAAAACACTTGCAGTGCAAAGAAAGCGCAGCTTAAACTCTAAATCTTTCTTATTTTCACCTATGTATGTGCGTGTGTTCAGGTCTGATCCAGGTGGGTAGGTGGAACCCGGTGCCTCTGTCCTACGTAACCGACGCTCCAGATGCAACAGTGGCAGACATGCTGCAGGATGTTCACCACGTTATCACACTTAAAATCCAGCTGCACAGGTAGAGAGCAGACAGCACTCATATCAGTATGTTTGCCTTCAGGGTCATATCTTTGTCCTGTTTGTGTGAGTTATACATTGCTGCACAAATGTACATTCAGATGAAGTTTAAAGTGGTTAAATCATAGATTTTAGTAATGACACTGAGTCAGCATATGCAATACCAGCACTTTGACACCAAATGTACTTTTCCTATTGTTTTTTTTTTATATATATATTCTATGAAAACAGTGTACTGCAAATAAAGACGGACCTGATATCATTATTGTTATCTGAAGCTTCTTGAGCTTAAGTGTGCTTGTGATTTCTTTATTGCATTAGACAGTACATGTGCTTCAGCATTTAGACAACAATCCATGTTGGTGTCTTCTTGAAGGGATACTACTGAGCTTCTCTGGCTCTGACCGGAGCTTTTTCAGTAAATAACCATGTTGAGAGATTCTAATGAAATATGCCATTAAGTTACATCATGGAAGGTCTAGTAGTGTTTCACTTTGTTCTCAAAGTAAAACACTGCTGAGCTTAAATATACCTTTAAACAGTAATATACTAAAATCATCTAGTTCTTTTTTTTCTTTGACCTTTGTGTAGCTGTCCTAAATTGGAGGACTTGCCAGCCGAGCAGTGGAGTCACTCGACGGTGAGAAATGCTCTGAAAGAGCTCCTCAAGGACATGAACCAGAGCTCACTGGCCAAGGAGTGCCCACTGTCCCAGGTATACAAAAGAGAGATAATAATCTAAACTTGACTAAAATTCAAAATTAGCATTTAACATGCATGCAATTTAATCTTCTGTGCCCTCTTTGACATGTGGCAAAGAGTAAGCAAAGGGTCCAGTAGTTAGACAGGAAGTCCAGATGCAGAGATAGATAAGGTGTGGGGGCAGAGCACAGGAGGGAGAAACAGATAAAGAGAGATGGTTATCTCCTTAAAAGCCATGCCGCCTGCTTGCTGCCCATCTTGATCCTGTTGATTTTCAGTCCTTTGCTGTTTAGCCTTTTCTGCACTCTGGACTGATTCAGCGATAATCTAAATGTAATATCTTCAATTCTTGTGTGTTTAATTAAGCAAATACAGACACAACTGCAGAAATAATTGTCATTAATCACGCAGTGTTTGGGGAAGGCCTTTTTATGAATATTCATAATTATCAACCTGGTCGATCTATTATTTTGCCCGAGGCGTAGGACATCTACAGTCTGATAGAGGATAACTGTTCACCGTCTTCTCTCTACCTCGGATTCCTCTCTTCTCTGCCGTGTTAAAATCTGATACAAGCAAATCCTTCCTCCCCCATCTCTCTTCCTCTCCTATCACTACCTTAACCCCCCTCTCTTGTTTGCGGGAAGCAGATTAAAATAAATATGAGAAGATGAAAGGTGTAATAAGATGTAAAGATTGCACAGGATAGTCTTCAGGGACAAACCGTGTGTGTGTGTGTGTGTGTGTGTGTGTGTGTGTGTGTGTGTGTGTGTGTGTGTGTAAGAGTGAGTGAATGAGAGACAGAGGCATAGTCTCTGATGACCTGTAGTGTTTTGTTTAACTGCACACTCACACACGCATGTATGCATGGATGCATGCATACCCACACAGCTCACACACTGACACTCTCATCTGTCTTTATTATCCTATTTACCTGGGGGTCTTTTTAATAACACAGATCTGAGTTCATTAATATCAGATGTGTGAACAGCTGAGACACCCAAGCCGCCCATAGCAGGAGCTCAGAAAATGTAATGAATTTCTATTGTCTTTTCCCCTCTGTTTCAGAGTATGATATCGTCTATTGTAAATAGCACTTACTATGCAAATGTCTCAGCTGCCAAGTGTCATGAGTTTGGCCGATGGTACAAGCACTTCAAGAAGTCCAAATGCTTCAAGGGTGAGAGAACTCAAAACACACCTGTGAAGTATTACAGCATGTCTGATACACTCTAGATACTGATTATATGAGCTTTGTCCTACTAACAGGCGTCATACACTTTTAGCAACTTGAATAAAAAGATGAATGCTTCACCATTTTCATTTTATAGGGAAATTTTACAGTGCAGTAGCAGGAAAAAGCTGTTGAACCCTTTAAAATAAGCCGTATGAATTTGTTTTTAGAGATAGCCAAATCTTTGAATAAGTTATAACTATGAACAGATACAATTATTTTATGAACTTTTACAAAAATAGTTGTATTCGTCAAAGTAAACCTTTGATCTTGGTTACACACAAACAAAGTTCGGTGCGCTTTGCACATTCGTGACATTACTGTGGTGACAAAAGTTCGCAGACATCCACCAAAACATGCAATTTAAAAGTACCCCTTAATTATAATTCAGTACAGTATACCACTGCCAGTTACCTATAACCTCAATATTACACATACAGCCGAATTATTACCAGTACTCCTCAAGGGATTTGGATAAGATTGTCCAGTGTTGAGTTGGTGGGGTGATGTCAGTGGCTTCTGCTCCTCAAATGCAAAAAATCTTAGCTTATCTTAGCTTAAAAATCATTAACTGTTCAACAATGTCAACAACAAAAAAAGAAAATATTGCATGAAAGCAAACTTTATGATAGAAGTGTTGTAGGAAATTGCATGCTATTAGATTAGTACTTAATAAAGTAAGTTTCCCACCATTGTAGGTGTCTCCAAGACCAGTTTGTGCAAACCGCACAAACCACCTGTCACAACTACTAAACATGTACAATACAGATTAAAAAAAGTCTCTGAATATCTTTGCTGATGACCACAAATGCTATTTAAAGCAAGGACTCAGTAAACATGGAGTCTAAACCTTGAAATATGAATGGAGTACGTCTTAGAACAACTTAACTTATAAATTAAAGATGATCTTGAACAGGAATCATATCAGTTCCCAGACAACACCCATCTACCATCTGGGGCCAGGATGTTGGTGTCAGCTACACAGCTGCAAAGTGTCATGACTGTATTGTACATGATTGTGATGTAACCATGAAGGGACAGGCTTACACACCTGCCAAACCTGCCAAAGTTCCCAGAACTGGCTTTTCTTTTTTATTCGGGATGAGGTTTTACCAGTATGACAAACAGTAAAATACAAAATGCACAACAATAAAAGAACCAGAGCCCAGAGAGACAGTTAATCAATAAATTGTTTATGGAGAACACAAACCACTACTTAGGGCAATAAAAGTGGACTGTATTCCAAAGTGAAACCATGATCCCATGGGTGGAATACAGTGGAGGGAGTATTATGATACATCAAGATGCTTAACTAGCTACAAAATGGCTTCAAATGAAGAAAATCTATCTTCTGGTCAAGTCTAAACTTAGGCTTAAACCTAACAGAGATGCCAGTTGATGACCTGAAGAAGCTTATTTTGTTTTTCTTTACTTAAACTTGCGATCATATATGACCTGGTGACCAGATATTGAAGAAAACCTGGGTTCACCCACTTTTTCCTGCCACAATGTAAATCATCCTGTGACTTGGAGATGTTATTAGCACTTGAACAATGAGTAAAAATAGTCCTGCCTCTTCTTTCCTTGTCCTTTACCAGACATTGACAACTTTTCTGACCAGTCCTCACATATGACCCTCAGCCAGCCAGCCACTGGTACCCCCGCTGACCAGAGCTCAACTCTCCTTTTCCCTCGTGGAGCGGTTGCCAACATATCCAACTGCCCACCCCTCAGTCTGCGCCCTCCTGGGCTGGTAACCCAGCCTCTGAGCTCCCAAATGGTCAACCAGCAGCTGGTGATGGCCCAGTTTCTAAACCAGCAGTATGCTGTTAGTCGCATGCTTGCTGGCCAGGGTTTGGCATCATCACCACAGCAGTATCTGAACCATCCCCCTGTAGGGAGGGCTCCTGCCAAGGTCTTCTCTAAAGCTCCTGATCCCCAAGCCCTGCAGCAAGTGCAGTGCGGCCCGGGTGGAAGCTCTTCTGCCGGACTGCAAAACCAGACCTTGGCTGCGTCTTCCGCTGGACCATCAGAGGTGCCGATTGACATCTACCAGAACGTGAGAGAGGAGCTCAAGAGAGCAGGCATCTCCCAAGCCGTCTTTGCCCGGGTGGCATTTAACCGGACCCAGGTATGGTTGCAGGAGAGAGCAAAATAAAAGATGCTGAAATCGAATTTTAAAGCAGTTTTCAACTCTTTGGTGGTGATTAGGTTGCTCGTGCCCTGGTGCTGCGGTGATAGCTAAGTGTGTTCTGTGAATATGTGAGTGTGAGATGGTTGGCACACTGGCATGGCCTTTGCCGTAGTGCCTCCTCCCCCTTGTGCATGTGTGTTTGTATGCGTGTGTGAGTGTGTGTTTGTGCCAGCTCTCTGCGGCACAAAGCCGGTGCCAGCACTGAAGCAGCAGCTGGGCCAACTAATCACAACCCCTCAGAGAACTGCTGCCTCCCTCTCTACCTCTATATCTCGCTGTCCATCTCACCACCTTTCACTCTGGCAGCCCTTCTATTCATTTAATCTCTAACCCCCATGGTCAATCCATCTATATTTAATCTCTCCCTTACTTTGTCCATTGGTCTCCTTCATTTTGTATCCATATCTCCCTCTACTATCGCCTCCTCTCTAACACTAAAATGCTTTGTTGTCTGTGTCCATCATCTTATATTCACTAGTGTGCCCACAGAAATGGGGCTCAAAGGACCGGCTAAGCCCGTTGTTATTATTATTATTACCTTCATTATCATTTTCATCACAATAAGCAGAGTTAGTTATTATCCACCCCCATGTTTCCCTGTTGCCAAGTCCAAGGTGCTCTGGTGCCAGCCATACAAGTTGGGCACGATGCCAAAACGTCATCTAAAAGCGAGGGAAGCATTTGTCATTTGACGACTCACATCAAGCCTCCATCTCTTCAGAAGGCAGGGTTTGCTGGGCAGCTCCAACCACAATCTATTATTTGAATAAGAAGGCTGTTTCCTCTAAAGCCATTTCTCTGCCAGTGTGAAATCTGATTTCCTTTCAGGGAAGGAATCCCTGAAATTTGCATGTGGTGTTTGAACACTTCCCTGTATAGACAGATACAGACAGAATAATGCTAGATGTACAGGCGAGCAGCATGCTAAGCACTGACTAGAAGCTGGCTGTGAAACCCTAAACTGCAAGGTTTTGTCAAGATGCCACTGAATAGGATTCAGAGTTGGATACGAGGCTATTGCTGAATTCCTTTAGTTTCACAAGAAACTTTACATTTATCATCTTTAAATGAAGACAGTGAAAGAATACATAATATTTCATGAGACCTTTTCCATTTGTGATTCCTGAGAGACTGGAGCTTTTAATACCTGACCTGAATCATTTTGTTTGTGAAAGCTGAACATTCAACATGAAGGAAAAGAATTCAGGTTTATGAGTTCATATAGCTTTAACGCAGAATTACAATATCTGTCATCCCTCTGTACAACTGAATGCTTACTGTTCCTCTGCTTCAAAGAAATGTTGCAGTTTGGAGTTAGATGAGCTCATCAGTATTGCTATCATATTTGATAAGAGCATTACTGATTGTTATCTTAACTCAGTAGTTCTTCTGGCATAAACCTTTTCAGAAAATGTCCATCTACCGTTAAGAATGAGAAATGATCCATAAGTAATTCTAGAAGAATAAAGGTCAGCATCACAGCACTGGTGAAGACTTGTTTCTTTTTTTCTATCATATATGGTGATCATCGCTAACCATTTCTCACTTGAAGGTCGAGATATTATCTTAAGTTGCCGCTTGTTTTAAATTATGTGAGTTTTGAATAAACTGAAGAAAGCAAAGTTGGTGTCCCTTAAACCATTTTTATACCACTAACATCATGTATGTTATACATTACTATATATAGATCGACCTGGAAAGGATGTGCTGCTAGGACATTTACTAACATGTACTTGAGAAGCTAGATGGCAATCCTGTGGAGGTAACAATGTGCGGTAGAGAGGGCAGTGGACTTTTTGACCAGATTGTATAACACAATCTTGGAGGATGAGAGGATGCCTCAAGGATGGAGAAGAAGTGTGCTGGGACCACTTTTCAAGGAAGAGAGAGTACGTGAGTGAATGACAGGGAGACAGGTGGAAAGGTGAACATGCAAGGAGCAGACTTAGAGGTAGATGAGTTTAAATACTTGGGGTCAACAATCCAAAGCAACGGACAATGCAAAAAAGAAAGTGAGAAGAAGTGTAGGCAGGATGGCTCTGGTGGAGACGAGTGCCAGGGTTGTGACAGAAGGATAGCAGCAAGAGTGAAAAGGAAGGTTTACTAGATAGTCACGAGACCTGCTGTGATGTATGGTTTGGAGACTAGCAAAAAGACAGGAGGCTGAGCTGGAGGTGGCATCACAGGGACAGCTCTGGTTGAGCAGTTTGGAGACAAAGTTAGAGAGGAAAGGCTGAGATGGTTTGGACATGTGCAGAGATGGGATAGAGGATATAATGGACAAAGGATGTTGAATACTGAACTTCCAGGCAGGAGGAAAAGAGGAAGTCCTCCGAGGAGAGGACATTCACAAGGTTGGTGTGACAGAAGAGGATACTAAGGATAGGGTGAGATAAAGATGGTCTGCTGTGGTGACCCCTAAAGGGAGCCGCTTATAGAAGAAGGAAAAAAATCCATCACAAGTATCAACTTACGCTGATTTTTCTGTGTGTTTATCAGGGCCTACTCTCTGAGATCCTGCGAAAGGAGGAGGACCCGAAACACGCCTCCCAATCTCTGCTGGTCAACCTACGGGCAATGCACAGCTTCCTGCAGCTCCCAGAGGCTGAGAGGGAGCGCATATACCAAGAGGAGAAGGAGAGAAGTCTGACTGTATTCACACCCAGCTGCAACAACACGCCACCGAGGTCCTCACAGGTCAGCCAGCAAAAGACTGAAAGACATGAAAACAAAAGTCTTGTAAACCAGCTGTGAAAGGTTAAAGTTGTTCATAAAACAGCATTGAAATATTCAAGTGTGAGTTCTGTCACTTGGCTCAACTATGCCTGTGTTAGCTCTCAAAGTGGAGCATTTTCAAATAAAAAAAACATAAAAACCTTTGCCTGCTATCTGTTTCATAGTCCTCCTATTGCCCATTACTTTGCATAGCTTGTATTTAAACCCGGTTTTCCTTCTTGTTTGCTTCTTTTTAGTCAAGACTGTCCCCAGTTACAGCAGACAGAGGACTGCGGACAGACAGCTGCGTTCTCAATGTCAGCGCCTCTATCTATGAGGAGATCCAGCATGAGATGAAGAGAGCCAAAGTGTCTCAGGCGCTGTTTGCGAAGGTTGCCGCCTCCAAGAGCCAGGTACTTTGCTTCTTGTTAGTTTAAATCTGAGCATACAAACCACCCAATCGTTTCTATCGCTTGATGAAATGCTCAATTTTAGCATTCATTTATGACTCCATCGCCTCAGTTAAAGCAGCGATGGATACCGTGTGTGGAGGAAAGCCCAGATAATCAACCAGCAGCTGTACTCTGCAGAGGACTATCATCAGTGCATCAGACTGCTATTGTGTCCTAAATTATCGCTTTAATAGTCACCATACACACATACACACCACTCGCTTGTGCACACAAACATACAGTAAGAGCACATGCAAGTAAAACGTGATCGCGCGCACAGAGACACAGCAACACTAATACAAATACACACACACAGGCACGATTTGAGTGTTTATTGTTCTCATTTTTATGGCGGCCCCATAAGCTTGTTATTGCCTTTTGTTTTGAGGATAATTTCCCTTCATGGAATGGGGGGATTTTAGCTGTCTCATTTTCTCTTCCTCTCGAGCACATCTCCAATTTTTAGCTTCTTTCTTGCTTGCTTTCTTTTTTCTTTTCTTTCTTTCTTTCTTCTCCCATATAACTCCCTCTCCTTTCTACTCATCATCAAGATGTTTGGAGGTCATTCAGCGGTCATGCCAGTACAGCCAGGTGGTCCAAAACCCCTGAGGTTCTTTCACTGGCCTCCATTTTTTTTACCTTACTTTCTTTAACCCCCACCCCTGTTTCCCTTTATTCTCTCGCACTCTCTCTATCTTTTATCCCCCACCCCACCCCCCGTATTACCCGGTTGTTTGGCAGGCAGAGCCATGCAGCATCTCCCTGTTCTATCTGCACTGTGCATCTGGATGGCATTGTGTGCTAGAGTTGGGCTACAGCCAGGTGTGTGTGTGTGTGTGTGTGTGTGCGCGCGCGTGTGAGCATATCAGCTTGCTTGCAAACATAATCATCCTCAGTTCATGAGTCTGAAACTAGCTTGGCTTTACGTTCCTCAATCTGTCACTCACAAGTTTCTTCCTTCGTGATACACAAACAATTCATGCTGATAAGAAAATCTTTCTATAATCTTCAGATTATCTGGCAGATCCTAATTTTTTTTTTTTTGATTTTGTATGTATATTGAGAGCACACTGAACCAGTTTGGAGTCAATGTATAGAGAAAGTTATTGTGAATTCATTTTTTTCCCCCTTTGGTCAATCCCTTTCACTGTATGTAGGGTGCCAACATACATAAGCAAATTAAATGTAAGGCTGCAAATGCTGTCGCTAAACATGCATCTTCAAATTTCTGCTGGCAGTCTACAAGGCTTAAACTGAACCCCAGCTTAGCCTCTTTTTTAATGTGTGAGTTTACTCATGTTCTGCAACCTTTAAATTACCTTTTTTTATCTTATCAGTCTGCTGTACTGTACTGTAAGCATTTTAAAATAGACATAAACAGCCTGAAAAGGGTTGTCAAACATAACAGCATAGTCATATTGATATGGTCACGTTGTGTGATCTAAGTGTGTCATTGGGGAGAAAACAGCAGCACTTTGTGCTGGAAATTTTTCCAGTGACATGACTAAACACATTGAAACCAATCCTAACTGAATGTAAGGCTGCTTATTCCCTTGCCCTTTATTAGTGAATGTGCTTTTAAGATGTTTTAAGAGTTGTTAAGCAACTATAGCCACCTTGTGCATATGCACATATTTCCTGTAGGGATGGTTGTGCGAGCTGCTGCGTTGGAAGGAGGAACCCAGTCCAGAGAACCGGACGCTGTGGGAGAATCTGTGCATGATCCGCCGGTTCCTCAGCCTGTCCCAGAATGAAAGAGATGCCATCTACGAACAGGAGAGCAGCAACATGACTGCACAACAGCACTGCATTGACAGGTTCACCCTGCTAAGCAATGACAATACATTGGTAAGACTTCCAAAAGTGACAAACATTATTATCAACAGACACTCTGACTTCAGTAGATCTTGCTTGAGAAGAAAACTATTATGTATTAGAGTTTTAAACAGCTATATACATGGCAGAAAACACTTGAGGCTAAGGTGTACTGACTTTAATTTTGTAATTTAAAAAAGTTATGGATAAAAAGTTATCAGAAATCTGAAAGTGAATACATCACATTGAATGCCAATAGATCTCTAGGGCGTGCAATGGAAAAGCAGCAGAGTAATGACAGCTAAATGCCAGAGATGTCAGAAAAAAAAGATGATTACCACATTAAGCAATGATCCGTGAGGCTGATTAGTTATTTTTCTTTCCCTTCCATTGCTTGTGCATGGATTGATGGCTTGATTATAGGACAAACTCAAAGATAAAATGGTTGCATACCCTTCTGTTTGTGAACATACAGCCCACTGCCTAGCATATCATTGCATCATTGCCCATGTAGTGTTGACAAGAAAAGTCAACACCACATGGGCAAATTCAGATCCTGATGTGCATTTGCAGACATCAGTTCTGGGTGGCTGCACTGCAGATCACCTCACATGTGAACACTAAGGAGATTAAGATCAAACGGTCTCCACTACCCTTGATTTCACACCAGCCCAGATCATCGTGTCCTGTGTCTTTGCTCATATAGCAGCAAATCAGTGTCTAAACTCTGCAGATTCAATTAGATATGGTAAAAAAAAACCCACAAAAACAAAACACAATGGATGGGTGTGCATGTTAAGTTGTAGTTTCATTTTAAGATAAAAGGTGACATTTCTTGAGCGAAACAGTCTCTGTTGACTTCACTTTATTTCATTCACAACTATTTAAAGTCAAACATAGTACTGCTCACACTCAAAACTAGAAAAATTTAAATACCAACCTTTTTGCTCTAATCACTTCTAATTTCTCTCATCAGTACCAACGCAGCTCTTTGATGCCACAGCAACACCATCTACAACCCCATCAACCCCTTCAGCCCGAGGCAGGACCTCACCTTTCCCCGACACAACCCTGCGCTGCATCGCCAGCCGAGTCTGATGCTGGCGGTGCCTGGCAGCACTTGAGAGTACATTTGCAGGGCAGAGGCAGCAGCAATGGTGAGAGAGGGGACAGTAAAGAATGGGTTGAGGGTGGAAGAGAAAACAGGGACAGTTTAGGTGGGGACTGGGGTTGTGCTGGAACCGTGAGGGACAGAGGTGCAGAAAACAGCGAACAGGTATGGGATGGAAATATAGGGAAGGAAGACATAGATGACATCACGGGAGATGGCAAAAAAGGGAAGGTTAAGGAGAAGCTGTCAGTGAAATGGCCCAACATGAAGAATGAGGAACAGTGTAGGGCTGGGGTTTGTTCAGAGACAGATAATGAGGTAGAAAGTTACAAGGAGGTCCAATGTCAGGGGTTAAATGTGTCCAGAGATGCCCTCGGTATCCTGCAAAGTTTCATCAAGGACGTGGGCCTCAACCCAGACGAGGAAGCGGTCCACACCTTGTCTGCCCAGCTGGGCTTACCTAAACATATAATTCGCAACTTCTTCAATAGCCAGGACCAAGGACAAAGCCAAGACTACAGCCCAAAACACAGTCGCGACCACAAGCATTACTGCACAGACCCAAACATCTTGCAGGCTAATGTGACTGCACAGGAACTGGAAGAAGGTGGAAAAACAGAAACAGAACAAAAGGAGGAGAACTTAACAGGAAGAAATGAAACAAGTGAGATGACTGTATTAAAAGAATCGGATGTTGGCACTCAAACTATTCCCCCTATGAAGGAAGAGCAGGAGAGCTACATTTAACCCGCATACATCCAGTAACATACTGCAGCTTGGACAAGCCATACTTACCATTTAGACCCAGGACCGGGTGCTTCTCCTCTCTGAAACATAGCAACTTCGGTGCAAATGCTTCTCACTTAAAATATTGCTCCAGTCCAGAGTCACAGCGTGTTGGTATTTATGTGTTTATAGGCTTGCATTGTTACACACTGTGGAAAGACTAATAAAATACTGTGTATACCACAGCTTTCATAACCAGAGACTTAAGTTATGTAATTACATAGAAAGCTGTACTGTGATTTGAGGATTCTTGATGCACTTGAGACAGTTTACTGTGACTGAACTTTAGTACATAGTTTCCATGTATAGTTATATTTCTGGGTGGAGTGCTGGGAACCAATACAATGAGCCTCAGATTACATATCTCTATTTAAAAAGAGTAAGTGTAGTTGGTTGACTGACATTTTTGAAAAACGGCCATACCAGAAATGCCTTGAAGAGAGTGGCACTGCCAATCATGTTGTTCTTTTGTTTTTTTTTTAGGTGTATCTTCACCATTTTTGTTTTAATTGTGCTAACCGTGCTTTGTGGTTTGGCTTTTGTCTGAGTCGTTTACTCTTTACCTCATAAATTTCACTGTTCATGTTTCGCTCTTATTAAATAACAAGTTTCCTGTTGTCGTTTTAAATTAAATACTTACTGGGAAAGGACTGGGATCATGTAACACCCATAGTACGTTACTAGCCACATGATGACATTAAACAATATGTCATCTTATAAACTTCAAGTATAATCATTTGGAAGAAGTTATTTTCTAGGGACAGATGCTGATGATGACATTAAATTGGTAAAAAAAAAAAAAAGCCAGTGTCAATATTCTTTATATATAAACTGTATATACAGACATGTGACAAAGAAAGTTTGTGTACTGGCCCACTCTTGTTTACAATGTTGATTGAGTTTATTGAAGTTTGCACTTTTGCACAACTCTCCTAAGGTCCTACCTCATCATTTTAATCAATTATTGAGGTCTGGACTTTAACTGGGTTATTCCAACACATTTCCTTTTTCAGCTATTCTGTTGCAGTTGTGGGATCATTGTCATGTTGCAAGATGCAATTTTTGCCAAGTTTAAGTGGTAGGAAAGGTGGCCTCACATTCGACTCTATAATACTTTGATATACAGAGGAATTCGTGGTCAACTCAGTGGCTACAAGGTGTAAGCCCAAATAATCACCCCTCCTCCACCATGCTTGACAGTTGGTACAAGTTGTTTGTACTGATATGCTGAGTTTGGTTTTCACCAAGTGTTGCACTGTGCATTATGGCCAGACATCTCTACTTTGGTCTCATCAGTCCAAAGAAGTCTTATGGTTTGTTCTTTGCAAAGCTAAGCTGTGCTTTTTAGAGAGAAGAGTCTTTCTCTTGGCATCCCTTCCAAACAAGACATACTTGTTCAGTCTTTTTCCCCCCAATTTTTCCCTTCTAACAGAGGCCTGTAGAGTCTGAGACGTAGCTCTTGGGTTTTCTGCAGTTTCTCTGAACATTGCACAGTCTGACCTTGGGGTAAATTTGCTGGGAACAATGTGTCATTTTGTTAACTCACACACACGAATGCTCCAGACTGGCAAACTGCTAAAAAATTCTGCTTTTATAGAGGTGCTCACATTAGCTGATGATCAGTTAATCAAGTGTATTTGATTATCAGTGGGGTCTTTGTTTACTAACTATCCAGCATTGCATTTTACTTAACAGCCTAACACAGAGACACACTCCGCTCCAAACAGTGTTGAGACTACTGTAAGGTGTAGTGACACCACTTCTAAGTTGCCATATGCATAATTTTCTTCATTATGTTCTGCAAGAAAAAAAAGGTATTGTGTTGTCACACATCACTAAATTTACATGATAATGCTGATATATCTCTGATAGGCCGACACTGGCCAATAACATCAGCCAAAAGATGGACAGGCTCCATAAACAGTGACATTTGAATTTACAAAGAATAATACAGGTTTAACTGCAGAACCTATTGAGCCACTAAATAAAATAAAGGACGAATAACCAATCAGAATGGTATCTAAAATGTCTGTACTTGAAATGGTGCAATGTTTACTCCTATATCTCAAGATTGTCCAGTATCAGGCTTATCATTATATGCTAACGAATGAACAAGTTGGTTTCTGAAACAGTGTACACATAGAATTTCTATTCATGTTTGAATCTGTAAATCTCTCAAAATATACAGTCAATATTTTAAAAGTCTTTTAAAAGTTTAGTTCTCATTTTATTCTTCCCATAGAGTGGGCTGCAAGTGTGCGCAGTGTTTAAAGTTTAGCTCTGAAAGAAAGACTGTGAACATAGTGTATATTTAAAAAAAGAAATTTGGAAAATGTTTAACTTTTAACTTGTTTTCATTATGGAGTGCCAAGAGTGACAAAATGAATGAATTAGATACACCATTAAATAATTAATTAAATGTGTCAATAATTAATTAAAATTGGAATTAATTAATTAATTAAATATTGATGACACATTTAATTAATTATTGACATATTTAATTCATTATTTATTTGTTTGCATTTTAATTCATTATTGACACATTTGATTAATTATTTATTGATGTATTTATTTAATTCATTTTAGCAGTCCTGACCTCTGGCTGTTCATGAATTAATTTTATCTGTCAGCCTCACCCATCAAACTCAGGGGACAGCGTTACTGCTGCCACTGCAGCTTGTCTAACATCTGATTGGTTACAGTGCAAAGTAAGGTCGATCCTAGATAATCGATTGCTATGAACTGGTGGTAGTGTGGACTTGGGGCAGCTTGGAATCCCACGATGCATTTCAAATACCAAGCAGCAATGGTGCCGGTACTCTAAACTGTAGGTAAAGTTTTAAAATACCCTGTTTTTCCGTCACCAACTACACTTTTAATGTTTTAGCCACGAATGTAGTGGAGTAGTCTTCACATGCCTGGTCAGCTTGTCACGGGACACAGACACTGTAATTGCTGAGCTCATATCAAATGTGTACGTAGACTCAGGAATGTGTTTTAAATGAGCATCATGCTGTACTGAAATCTCTGCGCAAACAGTGCCTGGCATTGTCACGGGAACATCCGTGTATTAATTCATTTATTAAATGTATAAATGCTATTATACTTGATTCTAATCTGCTGCGTGTCTTACACTGATGGAAATGCAGATAACATAGAACATGCAATAACACCTGTTCAGCCAATCACATTCTTTCCACTTTGATCTGCAACAAACTGAAGCGTTGATCGCTTTTACAGCAGTGTTGTGTTGCACTGCTATATTTTTGTGTTCTTTATACTGTGGAGTTCACGTCTCTGGAATAGTTGGCAGTAATAAGGATGATTTTCTGTAAAAGAATAT